AGGACCCTGTGAAGAAGTGAGAGTTATGAGCACCTGCCCTCTCCTGTGCAAACCAGTGTCTGGGCACCTGCTAGATCAGCTTTAGCAAGTTTTTATCATGCTTATGAAGTTCCAAATTTAAAAACCCTTCCAGGATGGTTAGAGAAAGGACATCTCCTGGCTTGCAGGCTAGGCGAATGAGAGCTGGAAGAAAGAGTCCTGTGAGCCCTCTCTAGTTGGCACCCAGGAAAGGACACTGGTTGAAGGCTCTTACAAGGAGTTGTTTATTCCTTCTAGATGAGCCCACATATCCCTAACCTCACACCCCACTCGCACAGCCTTGGGTCAGTAGTAGAAGGTCCTGCATAGACCCTGCCCTGGACCTGTGCTTGCCCATTACTGCACACACAGAGATAGACAAAAGCCAGTCTCAGACTTGCCATTCTTCAGACCACCTCCCCCACACCCGCCCTGGCTCCTCCCTTTGGCCTTCTTGGTCCTGGACAATTCTCCGGATCCCATGCAGGGCTCCCACTTTTTATCCAGCTCCAATACTTAACAAACTTGTTTGCAGCCGGCTTGGACCTTAAATACCTTGCACGACTCATCTTTCAGTGTTTGTCCCACAGCAGCCCTGTGTCCCACGATAACTCCAGGCATGGAGCCCTTGCAGCAGATGCTGACAGTGTCTCACCCATATCCCCTCCTCCTGGTCATGCCAGCCTGACTTCCACCTCCAGCATCTGTAGCTCCTGACCTGAGGCCTTTGTATGGTCACAAGAGACTACTCTGCCCTTGTGTGCAGCAGGTCAAAGTCACAGGGAATAAACAACTCCTTGCAAGAGCCTTCAACCAATCACAAGCAGAAGCTGGGAGACAAATACCCTGTCTCCCTTGCCGCTCAGATGGGACGCCCCTGAGCACTGTATCCTCCATGTTTCCTTGAGTTTCCCAGCTCCAGTTGTCCACAGTGGATACTCCCTTGGCAATGCATCATGGATTGGATTCCATCTCTTTCCTCTCTCACTTCCCCACATCCCTATTGCTGTTATCTGGGATCATCACCTTAAAAAACCACTTGCCTCTGGATTTTTTTTTTCTAACAGTCTGCTGCTGGCATAAACCAAAATAAGACAGCATCTCATGCCATGCCATATGGAATCAGCCTTTGAAGTCTGACCCTCAGCTCTTTCCAGGTCTGTCTATGCTGGGAGGTAGGTGGGTCAGATACAGAAGCTGGTGGGGTCCATGTCCCTCCCCTGTTTGACCTCTGGGACTTACCTCTGTGGTGCCGGGCCACAATCACAGACGGGACACAAAACACCACATCTGCTATCAGGTCCAGGAACAAGTCTTTCTTTTTGACAGGGTCATCTGTTCCTCCTAAGTATTTCTCAGTGGCTTCTGGAATCAGTTCCTTAGCAATGTACTGAAATAGATCAATAAAGTAGCCACAACCCCCTGGTGAGTGATGCTGCTTCTCTAGCCCACTGGGAAGGCCTGCCTCAATAGTGAATCTCACGAGCCCTGTGCAACTCCCTGCTAGGGTGGAAAGCAAAGTGGGAAAGGTGGAAAGATGGGGAAAACCCTGAGGACCCAGTCTTCATTTTGCCTTTTAATTGCTGTACGATTTGTGGCAACTCATTTTCCCTCTCTGCGTCTCAGCCAATTCCCATGATTCTTAGACGCTTACAACAAGGGGATAGGACTTCCACAAGAGTGACATGGCTGTCTTCTGGTCCAGTTGCCCTCCGGAGAGTGGATAGCCCAACGACTGTTAAAAAAAAAAAAAAGTTAAGCATTTATGAATTGTTGGGAATTAATGAGAAGGAACAAACAAACTGACCAACTGACCAAACCAATGCAGACTGAAAGTCCTCTCATTTTGGGGGCTTTTAAGGACATGGGTCTTTACTGAAATGGGCAAAATCAATTAATCAAATGGGCTTATATCCAGAAACTCAAGCATTGCAAAGATTA